GTTCTTTTGGCATTGAAAACGCTACGTTTAATTCTAAATAATAAAAACTAATTGTTCTGAATGTAACGCTTTTGCCTACATCACATTTTTGTTTTGCTTCGCTAACCGTACAAGGTGGACAATACATATACATAACACAGGCATACATTTTCGTTTTACTTGTCGCATATCATAAAAAGACATTTTTAAAAATCACTTGATTGAGATTATTATAATGATGAAATAAACAAGGGTTCTAAGGTTTCCAACAAATCAAAATATATTTCATTTAATTTTTTTTACAGCATAAATATAATTGTAATATTGTTTGAACATTTTGGTGTGTACGTTTTTTATGGTAATTAATTACCCATAAATCGGCTTTACTAAAATTAACAAAGAAATTTGTTGCTTGTTAAACTTACGGTTAAATCAGCTGGGCGAATTGAATGAAAGCATTCTAAAGCAGTAGGAGAAATTTACGAACAAATGAAGGTTTACAAAATTTGGAAAAACATCAATTACTGTTTTTAATTAAAAAAATATATGCGGGGGATCCGGGTTTCATAAAAAATATTCAAAAAAATCACTTTTGTAGACTTACAATTCATATTACACAACTACAAAAAAAAGCAAGTACATTATAGTATTCGCATGTAAAATTATTACGATGTAATCCTTGAAGCTATTATATGTCTATCGAATTACTCGATTAATTATTATTTATAAACAAATAAGGTATAATTTTGCTAACATCATGAGCAAAATTAGAAGTAAATCCATATCTATTCAATAACTTGGATGTTGTTATTTATTTGAATTAGTATTGAAGTATTTTATTTCTTTACAAGGTAAAGTTTTTGTTCGTAATGTTCCACATTTAAAATCAATACCTATTCATTCACTTTTTAAAGATAATTTGTAACTAATTAATGGTAGAAGGCTTTACTTGTTGAAACTCCATAATCAATTAAAGGAAACGAATGTAAAATTTCAAAAATATAAATTAGTTGTTCACAACAATTCCAGAATATCTTCACCTAAAGAAGTCAATGTTATGGTGAAACAATTGTTGTGAACAATTAATATGTATTTTTGAAACTTTACTTTCGTTTCCTTTAATTAATAATTTGTAACTGTTGATTTTAAAGTTTTTTTGAGTATTCTTAATTGTTGTTAACGATCTAACGACGCCTACAACCATTTTATTCGCAAAAAGATAATGAACTGATTATGTTTCCAAGTTACCGTAAATATAGAAAGCATTACAAATTGATGTAATAGAAATATAATTAAACTACAATTTTTACAATACGTGTAGAATATACTAGTTAAACCCGCTCAAATACGTTTTACGTGAAATTAGTTTCCCTGCATTCAGAAGTTGTTTTGAACATACTTGTACATCCATTTGTAATAAGTCTTGCTCAGTATTGAAATATACGTTTAATTTTATATAATATCCGCTAAATATCGATAAATTAGAAGATTAATAAGAACATACTTAATCTTTTTAGCAACAGGAATTTTGCAAGTAATTTATAATCTTATAAAAACACTTTATCGCTATTAATTCATCATAGAATTTACGCTTGCTATTAAACGTCGAAAATTTAACTTCTTATCTAATCCGTGATTGTATATCTCTACGAAAATGAGATCTGAATCCAAAGAAAGTTTATCCTGTAGTATTTAAAATTTAATTGAAAATAAAATATCAGTGCATGCATATGTTAAACTATATAGAAAAGAAATTTTTGAGATCATGAAAAAAATAACAGATAAATGCTTATCAATGCTAGAAACTGCACAGAACCGTACACCTTAATTTTCAACGGTAACATTTCTAGGGTTATCTGAAAAGCTTGGGCATGGCCAGAACCGCTGAAGTGAAGAGAGATGCTCGCATCGGTGAAGCGGAAGCCAGAGCGGAAGCGACCATCAAGGAGGCCATTGCCGAAGAACAAAGAGTTGCTTCCGTTTTCCTGAATGACACCGAGATCGCCAAAGCCAGGCGTGATTTCGAATTAAAAAAAGCTGCATACGATGTCGAAGTTCAAACAAAGAGTGCAGAAGCCGAGCTTGCATACGAATTACAAGCAGCTAAAACGCGACAGCGTATAAAAGTAAGTGGATCGATCAATCAATAATAATTACATTATCAAATGGCGATAACGATAACACTGGTCGATTAGTTAATTTTAGAAACAGTTAATATCAATAAATATCTAGGATGATCTTAAAAAACGTTTATTTTTCATATCTATAGGAAGAACAAATGCAGATTCAAGTGGTTGAAAGAACTCAAGAGATTGCTGTCCAAGAACAAGAAATTGCCAGACGAGAACAAGAATTGGAAGCAACTGTAAGAAGACCCGCAGAAGCAGAAAAATATCGTTTAGAAAGATTGGCTCAGGCAAATCATAACAGGGTTGTACTGGAGGCCGAAGCCGAATCCGAAGCGTTGAGAATTAAGGGCGAAGCTGAAGCTTACGCAATTCAAGCCAAAGCGGTAGCTGAGGCCGAACAAATGGCCAAAAAGGCGGAAGCTTGGAAAGAATACAAAGACGCTGCAATGATCGATATGTTCTTGAATGTTTTACCACAGGTAAAAAACAGGGGTTCAAATATTAAAATAGTTAATTAATAATTCTGCAGGAGGGAAGGTAATGAATCATTTTCCTTTGGTTTTAAATTTACTCAAAGAACAAGGAAAATACTTTGCATGGGAAAGTAGCAATTATTTTTATATCAGGTCTTTTTTCCCAAAAGATTTTTCAATTGGTTATATAACCAATCGTTTCTAAGCATGGCATAACTTTCACATTTTTATGTAATGTTTAGCGAAAACTATTACACAGTAAGCAAATTCTTTAGCCGGTTAATCTATCAGTCAATAACAGTTTAAATTTTACTATTGCAATAAAAACAATCTCAAATTAAATGCTATTATGCTGATAATCTTTAAATAGAAAATTGTTGCTTGGGTTACACAACTAGGCAATTATTGATATTTTTTGCTCTGTTGCCTTTTTTATAGATTGCTGCAGAAGTTGCTGCCCCATTGTCTCAAGCGAAAAAAATAACCATGGTATCAACAGGTAGCGGAGAAGTTGGTGCTGCCAAACTGACCGAAGATGTTCTCAGTATAGTTACCAAAGTCCCAGGACTCGTCAAGTCGATGACAGGAGTAGACGTAATGAAGGTAAGCCAGAAATAAAATTAATACGAAACGTTTTTGTAATAATTGAATGAACTTTGTTTTATACGACTTCCAGTCAGTACATGCGGCTGCTTAAGCAAGGGCTCCACCCATAGATGAAGCCAAATCATGCACATGTCTGTAATCTTTTATGTATGTGGGAAAAAAGCACAAAAAAGTCATTACCTCTCTATAAGAACGAGTAGTTTTGACATTCCAATATTAGTTTTTTTATTTTAAAATACGCGTATCGTCAAAGAATGTGGTATGTTATGTATACAGGGCATGTGCAAAAAGTAGCTTTGCACGTCCTACGCCAAAATAGATGTAATGTTATTATGTATTTGTGGTTCGTATAAAATTATATTTGTAACTTTTAATAGATATAATTAATTACTTGTTCTTTTATCGGTATTATTATTATATCATTTTTAAATTTGATTTACTCAACATTTTTAAAATTAACAATACAATGTAAATTTGTATCAATAAATAAGCAGTATTTATATCTTTTTAAAACATATACTGCCACAGTCCTTTTACCCTTTATCCTAGCAATTCCTAAATCTTCATTTGAAGATATTCAATTTTTGTAATAATCTGTGTTGACAACAGAAACTGATATTTTCATAATCTAGCGTTAGGGACATTTTTTTAGTACATAAAACCTAATATTAGTGACGTTACTGGCATAAAATAACAAAAAAAAATTATACCAACAATATTTTTATTAATTATAACTATTATTCTTAAATACATAATATTGTTCACAAAATTTCAGTCCTACAAATGTTTTCCGATATTACAGAGCGAGTGATGTGGTGGAATGCCAAAAACAAAGAGTAATAAAATTAAATGCAAAATTTCAATTCCATCGTACAGAAGTAGAAGAGAATCAGAAATAAATACTTTAACCTTCTTTCTTGTCATGCAGTTGCAGTTGTTAAACTTTTCCCAAAATGTCATGAACGTACATCTTTTTCCTGTAACCCCTCTTTAGAAAATATTGAATTAGAATAATGATCAGGCCAAATGATACAATATAAATAATAAAGCACATACTCGTATCGATATTTTGGAAGATGCTACTTGATCCGTTGCTCGGCAATGCTCCTTCTAACCCCAAGTGAAGAATTCTGGAGTCGGAGCCGATATATCTGACATTTATACTACTATAGACGTGCTTCAGGTACTTGAGCACTTCGGGATAATTCCACGAACCGTCTGTGTTTTTACATAAAGAACAACGTTCTGTTAAAGGGAACTGGACTTTCGGGTTTTCAGGATCTTCGGTAGAATCGCCGGATAACCTTTTATTAACAGTGTTATGGGCCATCCACAGCCACAGAACCGCAGATTCACGAGACTGTACAGATGATAAGCCTTTTTTTCGGGCCATATCTTGAAAGTGATTACTGCAATCAAAACATCCAAAAAAGTTTTTGATATATCCGTGCATAGCATTCAGCACTTCTAAAGGATCAGCGTGGTCGTCGTTTAAATCACTTTCGGCGGAACTCACGGTGAGAAAGTGAAAGAGCTTCCACAATCCGCATGGGTATCCTCTATATTGGGGTTTACTCCCTTTACAAGCTAGCCACCGTTCAGGAGACGAAAATACTTTGCTGTTATCTTTCTCAGCATCTTTGACTATTTCAAATATTTGTTCCCCATTAATGGTATTAGTTGCCTCGTTGACTCGGTTCCTAAGTTGATTCAAAAACACCCTTCCGTTTTGGCCGAAGGGAAAATATTTGGCTAAAACATTTAAATAAGCTTTTAAAGCTGCCAGTTTTTCTCCCGATATATTTTTCATTCTTCCAACTTCAGTTTTCAAAGAGATGCGAAGGGCCGTTTCGAGATCCATTTGGAAAACTGCATCGCCCATTTCTTTTATTTTTTTATTGAGTGCCTCTCGCTCCCTAGCTTCCATAAGAGAAGAAATGTCGGGAACTTCGACATCCGCCCATTTACCGGTAAATATCGGAGGTTTTGGGGATCTTTCGGGGATTTTAATTTTTTTAGACTCAAGGAAATTTAATATCGCCGTACTTATGCCAGCTCTCGTTTGAAAATCGCCTGAGAGGTGAACCATGTCTTTTGGCAAAGACAGAGCAATTACCGAAGTTGAGGTCGTAATTCCAAGTTTACCGAGTAATTGCGAATTATTATTAAAAGTATGAAGTATTCTAATTTCATTGATTTTGTGCAAATCCATAGCCACAGTTGGTCCTAGAAGTGACTGAGGTGATTCAACGATCAAGAAAACGTATCGAATATCCACAGGTAATTCGCTAAATATTTTATCAACATTTGAGGTATCATGTATTGGTAACAAAGGCGGAAATATTTTTCCTCGGCCCTCTGTTTGTTCCCTGATAAGTTTCTCTATCAACTTTTCTCTGTGTGTATGGACGTCGGTTCCCTTGACAACTTCTGCACCGCGATTGTCGGGCCCTTCTTGGAAATTTTCGTGGAAATACAACAGCGTTGGATAAGCCATTATCTCAAAGTCCCTGCATATTTTGCTGTTATCGTCATCGGAGCAGTCAATCGCCCCAATGTTGACCAAATCTTTCCATTCTCTCACGTCGTTGGCGAGAGCTTTCCAGGAGGGTGCAAAACGTTGACAAAAACCGCACCAACTATTATAAAACTCTATCAACCAAGCGTTCTTTTGGCCGTACAGTTCATTTTTAAAATTATGACTAGTCAAAATTTCAACACCATCATCTAATGTATAGAGACCTTGGCCTTCAATCAGACTTTTATATTTATTTTGTTCACTGAGACTTAGAGACGCGTTTTGCGTTACTCGGAAGCACAATAACACAATAAAAGCACTACACAATTGTTCCTTGCCATACATGTCTGTATCGTCTTCGTATAATATATCGTATCCACCAATGTGACCACTTTCAGCAAATTCGATAATGTAGATAGCCTTGTAAGTGATCAACGACGATGTTTGAGAAATTCTGTTATATTATTAATTATTTACATGTATGTAGCTTAACTTGATTACGTCAATATTAGACTTAAATAAATTTACGTATTTCGATTTAAAGGTAGCTTTGATTTAAAATTAGATTTTTAATTAAATAGTCCATAAGTATAACCTCTTTCGTTACCGAGGCCTGGGAGAAAGTTCTACATGTCATAACGCGACCGTTAGCCCCAAGCAACTTCTGTAGACTAACTGATTTCTGAAATGCATTCCCCGTTGTTGTCTATTGTAGAGATACGTAAAGTTTCCATGTGTTGTACGTGAATTAGTATAACAAAAAAAAAGGGGAATTAATCATGATCCACGTCCGTCTTTTTATTATTATTTTGTGGAACGAGTGGGAGAGATTGCATGAGAGGTGGCAGTTGACAGCCGCACTAATGTATTAACAGCGTACGAATTGCAATCAGTTACAATTACCTACATGTCACTAATTTTTCCTTTTTACTCATCAATTGATAACAAACGAATTGCGAAATTGCGTAAAAATGATGAGCAATGATTATTCACTTTTTACTGAAATGAACATTGTTCAATAATTTTATTTTCTCCTGTATTTGTAAAAGGTTGAATAAATCACATTTCTTCTTTTTTTAATTTAGTAATGACTAAATAACAGGATACTGTAATGCATTGCACAACGCATGCGATGGCGATTGTCATTGTGGTGATAACAGGATAATTTATGAATTGGTTTTAAAAGAAAACAATGTACAGTACTGACCTAAAAAAAGTATAGTACCTGGTTACTCTTAAGTAGGGAGACTATAATTTTTAAACAAAAAAAGTAAGGAAAAGAAGATCTAATGTTTTCGTTATGCAAAACACCAAAACCATTTCGTTTATTAATTTAAATAAAAAGTAGGGCATAATTTTACGTATATTTAGAAAAACGTACATTTAGGTACATAAACTTGAAAAGCCTTTGAAGAACAATAGGCTAAACTTTGAAAAAATAGTACTATACTATTAAAAAAGTACACAAAATCCCTGCATTCCATTTTTTGTTTTTAAATTTTATTATAAATACAATTCTTAAAAAGCATAAAGAATTTCACGTCTCTTCTCTACATTTCACCTGTTTCACTATAAAAATGGTCCCGTGAGAAAATTGTAATGAAAAACTCTTTTATGTCTTTGTTTATAAAATTAATAAATGTTAAAAACATTAAAGACTTAATATTTAATTCTTTTTTTGCAGATGTTATTAATCAATGTAAATCTGTCTTTATTTTCACACACTAAATTATTTTTTTGATACATATGTGTACATACTACTAATGTTTTAGTTTCAGATAATAAAAAGTTATTTCTAAATATATTTGCACTCCTTATTTTCCAATGGTGTTAATTAAACTATACCCTTTTGTTTTTATTTTCAGATTTTGAACAAAATGAATTATTACCATTGGGTACCAAAGAAACAAGGTGAACAGGACCATGAATATTAAGAAAAAAAAATATTCATACTAAAGTTACATTCAAAAAATAAAATGATTAATAAATTTTTGATATATTTTACGTATTGTAATAACTTTTACGGAGGTCCTAAGGTAATATTTTATTTTTCCCTCCAAACATTGAACTTCATACTAAAGATAATTAANCCGCATGTAACGTTATTAAAGTCGGGTAAGTGTTATTTATAATAATAAAAATTAAAAAAAAATAAATTTTAATGCAAGTGCCATAAACATTTTTTCCATTTTATTTACTATTAATTAAAAATGAATTACTTATACTAGTCAAATAAAAGACTGAGACTTACGTGTGAAGTTTTCTATTAATATATTAAAAAATTTAACATAAAATAGTTATCTACAGTAGTAACTGTAATTGTAAAACTAAATGCAATAATAAATACACAAACACTCAGTATTTAATTAGTGATGGTAATTAAAGCCAGTGTATAAAAATAAATTACATTTTTATGACAGAAAGAAAAGTAAAACAAATGTAATAATATCCTACATTTTTTGCGTCCGATTTAGAAACGCTAATCTTCTGGCCCGAACTTCTTCGGGATCACATGGACTACTGGGCACAGATGGTGTACGTGATTTACATTCTAAACTCATTTCGATTGCTTTCCGTAACTGCACTTCTTCATCATCATCATCTTCACAATTTTCCTGCCTATCTTCTTCCTGTAAACTCAATCTTAGCGCTTTTCTTAATTCATCTTCTTCAGGATCTCCACCTAAAAATAGAAATAATTTCTACTATGTACTTATGAGCAGGCAATAATATTTTATTTATGCATAGATGATAATTTATTAGCATTCTGAGCCAGTCTTGGCAAGATATTCCACTGATGGTTTTTAATATTCAAAAAGCTTATCTAATGAAATTAAACGGTCTTTAAAATTGTTGCAAAACTAACCATCATTATCTTCAATAAGGCTAAGGTGCAAGGCAGCCTGTAAGTCAGGATCTTCCTCTTCATTCTGAGATTGAGCTGCGGTGACTACAGATCTGGGATTTGATTGAATAGGTCTCTGTTTCAAAACCTGATCAGCCACACATTCAGGTAATTCACCTAACACTACAAATATTGAATATCCCTCATTTTTCAACTGTGCCAGAAATAATGATAAATAAGTGTCAGAAATGAGTTGTGGTTTAGAAAGTAACGAGTTCAAATTAAACCACTGTCTACCTATACGCCGTATAGTGAACCAGTGGTCCCTGTAATTACAAATAAACGCTTGCATTTTGGTTGGATCGTTCAGAGCTTCCTTCACCCGTTCGTCTGTACTCGAGTAAGGCACTAATTCTAAACCCCACACTTCCAGTGCAGCACTAATCACTTGAATTGAAAAGTAACCACTGTCATCCATGTTACCTGAAGGCTGTTGAAGGAACCTCTGATATTCTTCAGAATCTTCACCACTTTCTGCCATCCGAAGGCGTTCTTCTTCATCCATCCTTTGAGCAAGAGAACTTAAGTCTACGGGTGTAAAATAGGCCCCTTGCAATAAAGCATTAAGGCAATGTTGAGCACACAACGAACCTTCTTGCTAAAATTTCAAAAAGATGTGTCAATACTAGTACATAATTGATTATACACAGAGAAACATGTTGTCTTTATATTGTAAGTCTTTACACACCAAAACTAAACAATACTCCGTGATTATTCTCTCGCCTTATGAAGGTAATGTTACAAGTAACCAAAATCAGGCAACTGTGATATGTAATTCCTTTATGGACATGATTTAAAGGTTCAGTACGTAATTCGTGTACTGAGTAAAAGCTCCTAATGTAAGATATTGTGTTATACAAGTCACAAAAATATTAAATAAAAAAACAAAATTTGTATGTAAGTATTAATTTTAACTTACTTTTTCGTGAAAAATGGTTTCCATCCTATCCCGTTGGACAAAGACAATGCGGCCTATTTTTATAATAATAAATATATTGAAATTCCTTAAAAATCGACGACTTTAAATACGTCATGTGTGAAATATTTGCAAAAAATATTACGGAACAACTTCATGTCATTAGAAACATTTAGGTTTAGTGTAGTGTACCAAATTTCATTTTTTTTTTTCGAAATAACCTTTATTAGAGTAAAACAAAAAACTATTATAATTCTAGTCTAAATTAATAAGAGAATTAAGATCGCCTAATTGTTGTTTCGTAAGTAATTGTTGTATTTATTTGTTTAGATTGCTTTTTAGTGAATTTTTGTTGTCTTGTTTTTTTTTTCAAAATAACCTTTATTAAGGTAAGACAAAAAACGAATTCTAGTTCAAATTAATATGAGGATTTTCGATTATCACGTTGTTAGTTCCTAGTAATAAGTACCTAATTGTTATATTTGGGACTTTTTTTAGTGAAATTTTCTTTCTTGTCTTGTTTGTTGTGTCGATTGTTTTGTTTGTTTCTTTCGTATGTGCATGTTGACATTCAACATGGCGGCATGTCGTCAGTGCTGTGCTGTGTCGTGGTGAGTTTTAAATTTTCTGAATTACTGAAAAAGTACACACAACTATTTCTCAAAAAGTATGTAACGACTAATTTTGGACGGTAACATTCTTTTGAGAAATAGTTTAGCGCCCGGAACTGTAATTTTTCATAAATAATATATTGACAGCTAAATTACTTTGCACATTCGCTACAAATTTTCGTCAATTTCCTCCTGAAGTCTCGTTTTACTAAATTTTGACATTATTCACATTTAATCAAATATCTAAATATTTCTAAATTAATGTTTCTGAACTTTCTGCATGAGAAATAATTGTCACATTTTTATATACTAATGAATAGCAATAACACAAATCAATAATGTGGCCAACGATTCTTTCGTCTATTAATTAGTTACAGCATTTATTTTGAAAACAATTTTGATAAAACCTATTTTGCTTTTCAATTTGTAACGTTTGCATCTATACAGTGAAAATTGCTGTATAGATCTATAACAAGTTAGTAAATTACTAGATATAAACAACTATTACATGGAAAATAATAGAATCTAAAAATAAAATATATATTAATTTTTAATTCCTCTAAATTTAAGAAAATAATTAAGTTTCAGTAATTTATAAGAATGCATTTTGTCTTTAAAGTAAAACAAATAGGTGCGAAGCGAACAGCAAAAACCGTTATTTATTTGTAACCTTAATTTTTTTTTTACAATTATAGTAACAGGTAAACATTCAAAGAAATTTATTCTTGAAAACGATAATTTGCTAGTATAATGAAGGTCAGAATTTCAGATAATTAAAATGTTTTTGTAAAAATTATCAAAAATTTTGGGTAAATGAGTTGTTTATTCATTATTCATAATTCAATTATAATTTTAATACTATTTGGCTTGTAATCAAATTAAAAACTGTACTATACATTTTTTAAATGTTATATCTCAAGCTTATTTCTTATTATTTGTGGTTCCGAAATTGAATATTAATGTCTTTATTTTTTTCAGCTTGTGTAAATAAGTAACTTCAAGATTTTTGTATAAAAAATTAAGAGTAATTATAAAAATAGCACATTTTACTGGCCTTGGGAAATTATGATAGTAACAACACAATACGCACCCAGCACGCATTGAAGACATCTGAGGATTTTTATTTAACATTTCAGTTTACATATAAAATTTTGTGTGACTGTGGAGTCATCGTAGTAATATTATAATTGCAACATAATTAATAAGAAGAAGCAGAAGAAGAAGAATAAATAAGAGTAATACTTTATGAAATTGTTTGGAATATTGTTTTGTATTTTGTGAACAAGTTAATAATAATAATTCATACTACATAATAATAGTAATATCCTATCTGCAAAACGGAACTTTTCAAAAAAAGTTGGTGAGGCTCGTTGTTACGTATTTGCTGCCATAATTTTGACTGTTGTGAGGTATTACATTATAACCGTTCTGTGATATTTGCTACACTTAAGAAAAAAATTGATACGAAGGAAAGTTAAATCATTGTTTCAACAAGCACTATGTCCACCAATCCTCAGTGGAAATCGTTCCAGCCGCCCGATATCTTGCATCAAGACTCGGCTATACTTGACTTCAAAAGCATGACCAGCAATGGTAAGAAAATTATCAATTAAAAATCTTCTTTTAAACTTTTTCTTATTTGCTTCTTTTTTCTTCTTTTCATGTGGTAAAGTCAAAGTCAGTAATACAATATAACGTTAAGGGACTGTTTGTTTTTTATTTTGTTTGGTAAACAGTCTTAAAAATGACTTATTAAGATGAAATAATTGTCCAGGGTTTAAATATATTATCTGTTCAAACACTGATTTTATATATTTTTTTTGTAATCTTAAGTGCTTTAGAAAAAAATATCATCTTGATTAATTTTAATTTGTTGATTTTCATGTTTGATTTGAAATATATATATATATCTAAACTAAAAATTGAAAAAGGAGCTTGCTCCTTACATTTTCTAATTTATACAATATACTGATGTGATTATGTTAAAACCACTTCTGATACTCATTTTTTTGTTTTTAGGAAAATCTTCACAAGCATTTAATTTTAATCGTTCAAACTCAAGCTCCCGTTTTGGACCTGATTTTCCCCTGCTCCAAGACAAGTCGACATTCAGTAGTCTATACGGATCATCCAGTACGACGCACACAACCTCCCGGTTTCCACCAATAGGCACATTCTCATTGGACGCCAACAATGTTTACAACAGCAGCGGAGACTCACACACAACCAACACCAACAACAGTGTATTCTCCAGTGTCAATAACTCGACAACGTATAGTGAGTCGTCGAACTCTTCGAATTTAGGAACGAGGGAAACTGGAATCATTGAAAAATTACTACATTCGTATGGTTTCATCCAGTGTTGCGAACGACAGGCACGTCTCTTTTTCCACTTTAGCCAGTTTAGTGGTAACATCGAACATTTGAAAATTGGGGATCCAGTCGAATTCGAAATGACGTATGATCGGCGTACGGGAAAACCCATAGCGAGCGCTGTTACCAAGATCGCGCCGGAAGTTGTCATGAGTGAAGAACGCGTCACCGGCACAGTTACCACCGAACTAAAGGCCGAAGGTTCTGGCGGTGATACCCAAGGACGTATCAGTTACGAGAACAGAGGCGAATGCTTCTTTCTACCCTATACTAAAGACGATGTAGAAGGAAATGTAGTACTCAGAGCTGGTGACAAAGTCAGCTTTCAAATTGCAACGAATAATAGGTAAAAAAAAGAATTTTGGTGTTTCATACGATTAAAAAAGCATATGAATTTGTACTTCAATTGTATGTAAACTTTGAACTAAACACTTTGAACAAATCTTAGCCAACAAACCCTTTAACTTTGCAAAACGTGAAAATAAATAGCTTGAGAGATCAGTCAGTATCAAATGGCACTAATAGTATTATAATTCAAAAAGAAGTTTTCTTTTGTTGGATATATACAATTTTTAATTTATTATGTATTGTGTTCTGTAGTCTAATCATTGTGGCAGTCAATTTAAATTTGTATTTCCTTTTTGTTTTAGAGGTAATCTTGGGGCGTGTCACGTTCGTTTAGAGAATCCAGCCCACCCAGTGAAGTACCAAGGAGTTGTATGTTCAATGAAAGAAAGTTTTGGTTTTATAGAACGCGCTGATGTAGTGAAAGAAATTTTCTTCCACTTTTCTGAAGCTAAAACGAAGGAAGAGTTACATTTGGGCGATGATGTAGAATTTATAATACAGACACGTAATGTGAGTACTTTTTCGTATTTATTTTAATAAACAAAAGCTAGCAATACATATGTATTGCTTAATTATGTTTATTAAAAAATATAAGCAGAACTTTCATTTTCTAGTCATTTCCTTTTTTTTTTGTCAAATTTTCCCTTATGGTAAAAGGTAAACATTGTTTTTTTTTTTAAGAACGAAATTAAACGGTTAGATTAGATTAAGGGTGGTAAATAATAGATTAAGATGAGAAAAATGCTTTTCTTTTGTTTTTTAGGGCAAAGAAGTGGCTTGTAACATAACAAAGTTGCCACCAGGTACAGTAATTTTCGAGGACTTAAAACCAGAAATTCTGAAAGGTCAAGTGTTAAAACCACTGGATCGTGCTCCTAATGTCCGCCATCAAACAGACGCGTTGCCAGGACGTATTCGTTTCCGAGCACCAGACCATTCGGAAGTGGAGATAGCTTTCGGTGAGAAAGACCAAAAGGGCGACTTCACCCTTCGTCACGGTGACTGGGTTCAGTTCCAAATCGCGACGGATCGTCGAGATCAGCTAAATCGTGCTACAAACATTTCTCTCCTTGACGAGAGCTTCGTCGTATCAGGCGAGCGTCGCGAACAGGGCGTCGTAGCGTCAACCAAAGACGGCTTTGGTTTCCTAAAGTGCGTCGAACGGGAGCCGCGTCTATTTTTTCACTTCAACGAGGTCCTGGACGTAGACGAGGAAGTCAAGGCTGGTGACGAGTTCGAATTCACCGTAGTTCAGGATCAAACAGGGGTCGCAGGCGGGGGAGGGACCTCCACTTATGGCAATAATGGACGCCAGAGCGCTATAAGAATGAAACGACTCAAACCGGGTACGGTACAATTTGAAACTCGTGTGGAAAATGATCTGACAGGAGTCGTGTGTCGCGAGACGTCGCCATACGGATGGTCAACGGCCAACGGCGGTGGACGCAGTCCCACGAAGCTTCAACAACAGCAACAGAACGGTAATGGGACGGCAGAAATGGTCGATTGTGGGCTTATTAGCTATCAGACGACGAACGGGGGCGGCACCAAGAAAACGGTTCCTTTTTATTTAAAAGACTGCGAAATTAAACCTTTCCCACGACTTGGAGATAAGGTAAGACTATTTTATTAGTGTTTTGTATTGCATTGGAGATAGTTTTTGATTGTAGTATTTTACTAATTGCTGAAAACTTTTAAAAGCATGAGGTTAATAAAGCATTTACTTGCAATAGAATAAACAATTCATGGAAAAAATTAATTTTCATAAATTAAAAACCATATGTATATTTTTTGTTATCTTATAGTAAGGGAAATACAATGATGCTGTTTAAAATGATTGCACACTGCAGAATCTAATCCCTAGGATAAAGTATGCTTTATGTTATTAGGAAAATTTAGCTTCTAAGTTCAATTAAAAAAAAATGAAGATAATGTAATAATCATAGCAGATACTGACTGACGCAGCCCAGAACATTTTTCATGTGGAAATCGTAATATAAGTAGTATACGTATATATAAAACCTAACGTTTTGCTTCTACATAATTGATTAATCTATGAATAATTGACTTCTAAATGATAAAAAATGTTTTTATGCTTCCTAATGGAACATGAGCGTTATAAATTAGGAAATGTCAACATTATCTTATAAAACAAAAATGATTTTTACAAAGAAAAGTTTGTTATTATTGAGTCACAAATGAGCTAATAACTTTCAGGGGAATCCCTTTTATAAGTTTAGTGGAATTCGTCATTTACCAGCTGACTTATTGCTCAATTTTTAACAGTCCAAAGTCTTATCGCCTTTTCTGTTTTTTCTATTTCTTATTTTTGACGACACGAATTTCATTAACATTTGTGCACTTTATTGTGTGAGAAATATATTTATTTTCTTTTCTTAAAAGTGTATCGTTTTTGTTTGTAGGTTCAATTTAATTTGAATCAGGTGAAAAGAAACAAGGAACTGGTGGCTGTGGACGTGCAGGTGATCCAGGTGGCTTCTCAAACGAATGGTATAACGAAAATGAGCAACCGTTACAGTAATAGCAACAACAATAATACTAGCAACAATGCTCAGATTTATCAGGGGTTCATTGCAGCTTTAAAGGATGGCTTTGGCTTTATAGAGACTATTCAACATGACAAAGAAGTGTTTTTTCATTTTAGGTGAGTATACTTTGATCATTGATAGGTTAATGTTTAAGATTAGAAAAGTTGCTCGTAACAAAAGAAGACATTGCATTAATGTAATGACAATTCTTTTGCTTAAACAAATATCTTCAGATATTTCAATATCTCAGCAAAAAAAAAGTTTATTAATTATTAATTGTGTATGGCACTTACTATGAAGCAAAATAATCGAACTTGATGATAAGTAGGCAAACACTTTAAATAAATAAATACAGTAAGGTTGTTTATTTATTTCATAAACTTGAGTTGGGCTACTTGTACATAATGATAAATGTGTTACAAGTAAGACAAATAATAAAATCAGTATACATTCTAATATGTTCATATATTTCTGATTTTACAAGAAAGTTAAATTAATGGAGTTCTATGGACCTGAGTTAAATAAAACATTAAACCCAAAATTCAACATAAAAACGTTTACAAAGCTAAAGTGCATTTCTACAAAACGTTTTTACGTGGAGTTTTGGTTTTAAGTGTTTTATTTATATTTCTGTTTAAGAAACTTCAGGTTTTTATTAAAAAAGCTGGTTTCATAAAAAATATCATTAAATGACCAAATGAAATCTGAGAATTCAGTTAAAATCATAGCTTACTTCAAGTATAATACCGAGCAAGTGAATAGTGAGTTTCTGTTATAAAGATGAATCCACACTGTAATTCCATTATTAACATGATGATATGATTCTGTAGTTTTAAAACAAAACAAGTTGAATGTTTTTTTCTAATTTTTGGAAGATTATTAGCACATAGTTATTTTATTATGAATTATGTAATTAAAATACTCTATAGCTCTTTAAAGTGTTGTAAAAATAGTGGTATAACAATAATGAATTTAAACTTTTAGTAATTATGTTTCAGTTCATAATTTTTTTATCTAACATAACGCATACTTAGTGTATTAATCTGATTATATCCTGATATTCTAAAACCTATCTGGAAGCATGTATCTCATACAAGACAGGATTTTAATTATATGCATATATTTAAAATGACCAGATTCTGGATAAAAATATTGAAATTGCTTAATTCTGTAAGATAGTCTCAATATGGTTTCATAATTTACCATCATTTATTTAAAATACTTATTTGACAAACGGTTTTTTATATTACTTTGTGACATACATTGACATTTACTTATTAATCATTACCATTTACTCTGAGCCTTTTATACAAAATAACACTGCAATGACTACTATGTTTTTTTTTTGTGTAGTAATTATGAAGGTGACCCGAACACACTAGAATTAGGTCAAGAGGTCGAGTACAATTTAGGCAGTCGCGAGAAATCGGGAACATGTTCATCGGCCGAAAACGTTCGAACAATTCCCAGAGGAACCATCCAACTCCCCACAGCATCTGGAGAAGTTTTGGATGGAACAATAGTACGCCCATTACGTTCGGTAAATCCTGACCAGGTTGAATATTGTGGCTTAATTCAATGGACGGACGATGGAGGTAACAATGTGCCAACGGTAAAGGAATGTGAGTTTGGAATCATGGGATTAGCGAACAAGAGGGAACTGCTGCAAGTTGGTGATGCCGTTCAGTTCCAAATTGGGTCAGATGGACGCGCCACAAATATCGTTGCTATGCGAAAAAAACTGAAAGCAACGGTGGACGCGATAAAAGGCCAGTTTGGATTTCTCGCATACGAAGTTGAAGAGGGAAAGAAGCTCTTCTTTCATATGTCCGAGGTTAAAGACAACGCGAATCTTCAAGTTGGAGATCAGGTCGAGTTTGTGCTCGTCACGAACCAGAGAAACGGCAAATCGTCCGCATGTAACGTTATTAAAGTCGGGTAAGTGTTATTTATAATAATAAAAATTAAAAAAAAATAAATTTTAATGCAAGTGCCAGTGATTTTAATGTGGTCACCACACCGGATGAGCCACGGATGTAAACTAACGCAAACCAACGTTTCCAAGTTGTCCTTTGACGAAGTGGACGACAAACGGTTAAACATAGGAACATAATCTTGCTATATGGAGCAGTTTTCAACAAGTGTCAATGACTCGGTGGTATATGATGCCCAACTACCACACCGGCTGAACCAGGCTTATCCCCGGCCGTTGCTATACCGTTTTATTTCTTCTTAATTTGTTTATTAACTTTTTTTTACTATTTTTTTTTTTAATGTTATGCACCTCTTGAAGGTTAGGTTATGGTTAGTTTAGGTATCCTCATTTGAAAAAATATATTCATATTAGTAAGAGAATGTCGATGTCGTTTGCATACGCTGGAGCTGCTCTGCAGCAGTTATCAATGTCCGTGATACTTGTCGTTCGGCTATGTTCGTGGCTCATCCGAATCTGGCGCCTAGATCCTTGCAATCCAGTGTGCCTGATCGAAGCATATCAAAAACGTTAGTAACTAGTAATAATCCAGTATAGCATGAAATCATGATAAAAATTTCATTCAATTGTTCATAACTGTTTTGTAATCGATTGTAAGTGAAATTTTTATTCATTATTAAATTACCTACAGAATTAATTACGTTACGATATAGTGGCTAACTTATCGTTAACTAATAATTTAAATGCTAATTAATTAGCCTGGTTTTTAAAAACGCTTTTGACGGAGTAACATATTTTACTAAAAAGTCCACCGTGCACGGAATTAGTATGACTGCGTTTAAGTAGTCGTTAACTTTATCAGCGGAATAATATTTTATATTTTATAATTCCGCCTCACATCAGTTGCCAGAGTGGGCGTCGCACAGCCAATGGGCAAGGGGTCAAGATGATAGGTAGAGGATATGAATTGTAAGTAAAATTTATGCCAACTGTGTAATTTAATCGTTAAGTAAAACAAAGTATAATATTAAAAGATAATCATTTTGGATTTCTTGTGAATTTTTCGTCTACTTTATTATTATAATCTTCGAGGTTCTTAATGAGAATCAGTAGTAATGATGAACACTTGTGTACAGAACTAGATTAAATTTTAAATTAGGGCAACTTAAATTAACCAGAACCTAACCTTTAAAAGATGCATAAGTTATATTTCAACATAGACCAGAAATCGCTTGATCGGGTCACTTTAGTTTACTTAACATAAATTTAAAAGAAGGATTCTTCCGGTCTGTTCATATAGCGTCCCAGCAAGGAATCTGGATTAATAAGCATGGCCACTTGCCTTTGCCTATGCTCGGTATACTTGAAAATGTGCCGTTTTGCAGTTGCAGTGTGGGCGGGCTTTACGGATGACGTTTGTCGTCGTCCAGATTACTATTAATTAAAATGCCATCGTAAACACGTATATTTCGTTCATTATTTGCTAAACTGCTCATGTAGCATCATCCATGTACACTACACCTTTCTTCTGTGCGAACGCAAATCGGCACGAAATTTAGAGAAGGAGTATATCAGTATCTATGTAGCCCAGTATTCTAATATTGAACCATTGATTTGTTTTGAAAAATGAACTGTATGTTTACTTATGCACGAGACTAGAATCTATCTTATATTTATCAGCTGATATGAGTCGGAATTGTAAATTTCGAAGACGATTCGGGTTTATGATAATGAATTAAGAATTCATACTTCGGAGTAATTTTTTTTTTTTTCGGTATAATTCGACTTTTTATAGGATCAGAATAAAATTTAAAAAATCATATTTTTATAATAAACGATTAACATTATTGGTAATAAAATAGATGGCTAGATAAAGGTACTATTTTTGATTCTAAAATGAGGCCTTTTTTCTGTTTTATTCTTTTATAAAATGTAAGATCTAGATTTGCAGATTATATGAAGATTTTCTGTGAAAAATTGTAGTATGTTAAACGATAGAGGTGTATCTCAAAACTTTTTTTATCAATTCGAGTAGCGCTCATGACGTTGTTACTGTTTTTTTTCGTGTGTTATACAATACAGTCTAACATTTTTTAAGCAAAACATAGTCATTGAACCTGTAAGATCCTAAAATTTATAAAAACATCTTAAAAAAAGGAATGAACTCCTTTCATCCTGTTGTGGGCAAATCTGTGCATTTTCTTTAGGCAGAACATTTAACTGTGAGAATAACTACATATCATGAGTTCAAAAAGTTAAATAAAATATTATTTACAGGGATGGACAAGCGAGACCAGAACGCCTGATAAGTCGGTTACGTACAGTATCTTTGGACGATGCGGGACCTAGACTGATGGTGCTGAGACAACCTAAAGGACCGGACGGATCGAAGGGGTTTTCCTCGGAAGCAAGGACGCCAAGATCAGCTGGAACAACTCTATCGGAATAATGAATGAAATAGTAACTATATTTAAAAAAATTAATTAATGAAAACAACAAAAAAATAAGTCACATACATACATACCTTCATACATACATAAATGCATACACGACTACACATAAATACATACATATAAGGACATTTTGAACACATTTGAGAAAAAAGAGAACACGCCCCGCATTATGCATCCCCATTAAATAATCATCTTCGTTGTCGTCTTCAAAAAAGAATTATGTGAGGACTAGCGCCTTTTGATTTGTTTTTTTTTTATTACTGTAATTTTTTTCTCTTGCACTAATTCTGTAGCCTCTAACCGATTCTTTTTTTTAATACTGCTCTTGTTATAAAAAAAAACGAACCCAATATTTTGTAAGTGGATGAATGCTAAAAAAAATCATTCAAAAAAAAAGAACAAAAAAATAGTACCTTGGTTTATTAAAAAAATAGTTTTTTTCTCATTTGCATTTGTTTCCCAATCAAATAACTTCATAGAAAAGAAAGAATCTTTGTTCTTATATTACGTGTTAAATGTGCTTTCGAAGAACGCTATGGGGTAACTGTTTAAAACGAAAAGTAAGAATCTACCATATTAGTTCTGGAATTGAAAAATTACATTTTTCTGCTTATTTTTTTTTTTCATCATTTAAAATTCCGTGATTTTGTAAGGTAATTAAATTATGTGATACCTGTTATAAAAAGAAGCCCCATAGTTTAAAGCTCATGCGCATTTTGCTTGGAAACATAACAGCAAGCAAGAAAAAAGTATAAACAATTGGTTATTTGAAGTTCATTATTATAATGAATTTGAAATTTTAGATAATACTACTGCTACTGTAACTAAGTAACTACGTCGTTAAGAAATTAGATTAAAAAACCTAGAAAGACTGCATCGATACTCATAAACTGTGCTGTTTCTCTTTTTATTTATTTTTTATTTTCAACTTATGGACAATTAGTTTTGATAAATTATAATTAAAAATTAAGGAAAGGTAAAATGTTTTTTACTTTTTCTCTCACACTAATCTTGTCAAAGCTGTGAAGATTTTAATTAAATAATATAACAAAGGGTGATCTTCTTTCTCAAGTAAAAGTCTCATATTTTTGTTCAACTGTTACTGTTATTTCCAAAATATGAAAGCAGAACTTGCATTACTTTAAAAAATAAAAACAAAAAGGTATTTTATTTTCGTATTTATTTTTTTTACATTGCTGTAATTGTCCGATTTCAATCCTTACAATTCGGGTTTTACGCTTATTATGCTATCTGCAATGAATATTATGTTTTATTAATCGTGAAGACTCATTTAATCGTTTACGAGTTCAGATTTATATACAGAAATAGAATACTTTTTGCTTCCGCTCGTATATTTTGGAGATAAAAAGCTCCTAGTTGTATTAAATATGATATTTGTAGCTTGAGGGACCATTTACCCACACATTCTCAAGGGAATTGTTTCTGTCATTAAAATAAATATATTTATAACGAGAGGCTAACACAGTTTGCGATATCGGGAGATAAAGTTGGAATCAGTTCTGGACTTAAAAAATCGTGCCATTCTCATTAGGATTTTAACATAAATAAAGTAACCCCCAGCTCTTTTGTTGCATTTAAAATTCTTTCAACATTCCTTGAGATAACTACTGCGTAACGTTTTAGTCTGGAACTGAACTTTATCCTCATAATTTTTTTTTGTCGTTCGTTTTTCCCATTTTGTACAATATTAAATTTAGAGAAGAATATGATTTTGTTTGGTTTCTTTTGAATGTCGCGCCCCTTTTGCAGTACCCGCAGCACTTTTTCGCCGTCGTCATCCTCATAACGAAACGAACTCCCTGTGATGGTTCACTGTTCTGTGATAACTGGACCTGACTTAACAAAAAAAAAAAATAAGTAAAGAACACATTATCGTCGTCATTGCCATCGAAACCGAAGCGATTTTATTTCTTTTTAATTCCTCAGACCTCCATCGTTTCTCCCTACTATTTTTTTTCCATCCTTCTGTCTAATATTATCCTGATACTCGTAGAAATAGAAAAATAATTATTTGTTGATGCTGTTACATGGAAGAAAGAACGTCGCAATAGTTTTGTGTGTATTGTACAATATTAATATCGATTTTGCCCGAATTATTAAATTTTTTTCGATCTGTATGGATCTTTTCCTTTTTTTATACTTTATTTATTTATTCAGAGTGGTAGGTTTGATGTAGTAATTAAGAATATGCGTCTGTGGAGTTCATAACACTTGTTTCAGACTTTAATTTACTTATAAAATACGTAATCCGGTCACGTATTTTATTTATTCCCGTCGCTTTACAAGGTGAATGCTCTAGGGGAATATGAAAATTACTGTTGCTGATTGCTGCTGTTGTTAAAATAATGCTCATTTTTTGTCTCTTTTGATAGATATTACTAATATTTCGTTCAACTGCTGAAAACAAACATTAAAATTGTTTGAAGAGAATGACCTCCGAAAAGGAGTAATAATAATAAAATCTGCTATTGTACTCTACTGTTATTGTCATATTGTATATAGGTGAATTTATCTTTTCAATTTTATTTTGATTTTCTTTTTAAATTATTAAATTATAACAAGTTTTTGGTGCAGAAATTGCTCATAAAACTGACTGACTTTGTTTCAAAAAAAAAAAATACATTTATAAATCAAAATGTAAGTAGTGCACATTATAATACCTAGCCAAAAAGTAATTTAACTTTAACGTTTTGCTCCTACATAATTGATTAATTGACTTATAAATAATAAAGAATGTAAATGATGTGCTTTCTAATAGTGTAAGAGCATTAAAATTACACCTTGCTAGGAAATTTCTATGTTATTGACTTTATTAAAAAAGGTTATTTATATCAAGGATGATGATTGTCTTCAAATATTATGGATAATTATAAGGAACGAAGAGATAAAGACGCAACACCAGAATTAAAATAAATAATAATTATTAACGAATATTTTAGAAAATTTACCTTAATACGTTACTACTAATAAATAAGCCGAATTCTGTGAGTTGTAGACCTATTTTTCTAAAGTTGTATTTTAATTATTTAATGGTGCCCAATTGTGTACTGAATATTTAAAATACGTACAATGTAAAGTTTAAGGGCTATAAGTTACTCTGGTCTTAAACAAATCGAAAAGAATTGTTGGTAATTGTGCAGATAGTGGTACCATTTCTAGGATTGGGTGTATGGAGTGAAAATTTTTAGAACCCTGAACAAGTGATTTTAGTTGGTGGCAGAGACGTAAAAGTGAAAATTGGAAATTTTAATTGTGTTGGTCGGAATGAATGGAAATGTAGAGATGACCTTGTAGAAAGTATGGTAGAAGCGAAATGTCAAAAACTTTAAGAAGAAACTTACCTAAACCAACCGTAACCTAAAACAATTTAAAAGTATTCTCTAAAAAAACAAAAATTGGTGAACTAGTTATTACTGTTGCATTGGGTTGTGTTTTTTTTCGATTTTTCGCTTCCACCCCCAATATTCTCACTTAAAATAATTTTTTACTGTTCTACAAGGTCATCCCTACCCCCTTTGTTCTACGGTCGCCTCATCTACATAATTACTATTTTCCAATTTTCACCTCCACGTTTCCATCCCCATCATCTGCACAATTACCTAATTATTTGGTATCAATCAGTCAAACCTTTCCACCAAATGCTTAGATTTTGCCGTATTTTCAATGCCATTAAATTATTTCTTGTTATGTGATAATAATCTAATTTAATTAATTAATTACAAATACATATAATAATAACAATGTGCAGCTCCTGCGCTGCTGATCCGGGTACTGCGACTATATTCAATTCAGAAAAAATAGGAACTCAGTGTAAATTATTATTTAGTCATTTAATACTTGTAAATCTTTTTTAATTTTTAGTCTTCTGAAAAATAAACATATTAAGCGAGCAGCAGCTACATTTCTAAAAACTATTTATTTCTTAATGTCTCAAGAAGATATAATAATATAGTACAAAAGAGCAGACACTAAATTAAAAAAAGTGTATGGCACCTTGAAGAACACTGATTTGTAATTGTGTAGTGAACTGTGTCATATTACGATGCACTCGTATGGAAACACCTTGTCTCCTATACCACCTGCTCCTGGAATTGGGCAAGCTGAAAAGTAAACAATAATGAAATATTTATTAATACATTTTTTATAGTAAGTAATCAAGTTTTCAGGTTTTCCGTTTGTTATAATGAAGAACATTTGATTGTGAAGCTTGAAGATTATTAAAAAATAATAGTGTTTTTGAATTTGAAAAGATTATGGGAATAAAGGCAAATAAGTTCTGACAAACAACGAGTAAGTTTTTATAATTTCGTATTATATCTGAATTGCGATAAGCATTATTCTTTTAGTTTTTAAATTTTTATTCCCTCGTATTTCCAAGTAAAAGCAGTTCATAAAAGTGATGTGAAAATAAGCATTTTATGCCTAGATATAAAGACTTTTATGCCAGCGAAGTCAAGGTTAAAGGTTATCGTCATCTAAAAATACATAAATTATTAAGTATCGATTTTCAGCTAAACGCACAGCGCAATCTAGTTAGATCATTCATGTATAAAAATAATTCTTTTGGCTTAAAAGTAATTTACATTATTAAAGATAAGAATATTTACGATAGAACGTTATACTTTTAAAAATCGTATTGGGGTTCTTGATTTCATTACACGGGTGGGCACAGCATTTTACGTGACCGCGTGCAACGTAATTTTATCGATTTTAAACATTCGGTGTTGAGAAGTAATTATACTGTATGTTTTTCTCCGACGGCTCCCCATACAAGTGACCGAATTGTAATAACACGAAATAAAACTACTTTATTTTTTATCAACTTATGTATTGTTATAAACGCAACTATAGTTTCGAAACAACGAGCATGATTATATGCATTAAAACTATAATTATATTTGCAACAATAAATAGGGCGATAAAAAATAAAACAATTTTATTTTATACTAGTATAACTTTGTTAAGTATATAGTAAAATTGATAGAAAACATTGACTTTTATAGAGGATAGCTTTCACATCCGGTATCATCTAAAGAAAGAAGAATCGTTTTCCGGGCTGATAGGCCGTTGTGGATGTAAGTGAAATCTACCAGACGTTTCGTCTCACAATCAGTGAATTTAGGTGTTGATTTAGTGCTACATACTATACAGTCTACTGAAAACGTACACCAACATCGGAGACGAAACATCTGACATATTTGATTTCTTCTATTGACCACGGCTCAAAATCCCAGAAAACATCATTATAATGACTTATTGTAAGAGTAAACTTTACCTCGGTTGCATCGTGCTCCGAAGAATCCTGTGCCCTCACATCGACATTTGTAGCCAGGATGTTGAGATATTTGTAAGCATGAACCTTCGTTGACACAAGGGTTTGGGTTGCAAATGTCCCGTTTTTTTCCTAGAAGTTTATAAAAAAACGTGTTGAGAAGAATGTGCTAATACGGTTTTAAAAAGTGGTTTATTATTTAACCTTTTAAGGCCGCTTGGCATTCTTTTAAATTTGCATATCGATATTCTGAAATGCACCCAGTACCACACGAACACATGCGGTTTTGTATACGGCAACCTCGCCGGATTTGGTCCATATCACAACTTAAACATATTTGGAAACCTACAGAAATTCATTTTGATATTAAAAACAAGTATTTGCATTTTAAATAATTTATCAGCATTTATTTTCTTTTTGTTTAGGATTAGAAAAAGAATTGGGTCGTTTCTAAATTATCTAAAGCAACGAGTTTACATAATACGGAAGTAATTATTTATAACAATAAATTTTGTATATAATAATTTGATAAGACATAATTTAAACGAGGTTACAGACTTATACATTGTAAATGAATAAGTATATAATCACTTGGTGGCGATTTAAATATTTAAATTCGTAAGACCGAAAATGTTACTTTTACAAAGTTAAATTATTTTGGTCGGACACTTGCTATTTTCAAAATTCTGCAATTTTTCGATGAAATTGCATTAAAAACGTAATATAAATTAACTTAAAATATTTTTAATTAGCTTTATAATTATTTCAATCTTACCTACGATAGTTAATGTGAAAACTAATAAGAGATTCATTTTATTATTTTTATTTTTAATTTTCCGTTTTGAACAACGCCGGACGATGCACTGTTAGCAGAATGCCATACGAACTGCTGTCTGTAGCGTTGAGATATCCGATAGCTACTAACTCGATTGCTGTGTCTGTTATATTTTCTGAATTGATAATTACAACATATTATGTCGTTGCCCTCTTATTTCCTTTCACTTCTAGTATGGAAACGATAACGCGTCCTAACATTAT